CACTGTAATCCCCAGGTCCTTTTCTGCCACTTCACCAGTGAGTCCCCAGCCTGTAGCAGTGCATGGGATTCTTCCGTCCTAAGTGCAGGGCTCTGCACGTGTCCTTGTTGAACCTTGTCAGATTTCTTTTGGTCCAATCCTCCAATTTGTCTAGGTCTCTCTGGACCCTATCCCTACCCTCCAGCATATCTACCTCTCCCTCCCACCCAGTTTAGTGTCATCCACAAACTTGCTGAGGGTGCAATCCATCCCATCATACAGATCATTAATGAAGAGGATGAACAAAACCCGCCCCAGGACCGATCCCTGGGGCATTCCATTTGATACCAGCTGCCAACTAGACATTGAGCCGTTGATCACTACCCATTGAGCCCGACAATCTAGCCAGCTTTCTATCCACCTTATAGTCCATCATCCAATCCATACTTCTTTAACTTGCTGGCAAGAATACTGCTAACATCATGGTATATCACATCCACCGCTTTCCCTATATCCACAGAGCCAGCTATCGCATCATAGAAGGCAATCAAGTTGGTCAGACATGACTTGGCCTTGGTGAATTCATGTTGACTGTTCCTGATCACCTTCCTCTCCTCCAAGTGATTCAAAATGAATGCTATGGGAGATCTAGCTCCAGGAGGCAAAGGTGCTCAGCCATGAGTCAAATATCATGAGTCAGATGTAACCCCTCCAAAATCATGAGATTAGCTCAACTATAATGAGATCTTGTTTTTAAAATTGAATGTGTTTTTGGTTTGTCTTCTGATTTTTTAACTCCCCCCTCCCTTCAATGTGCTCATACAATTAGTTTTACCAACTCTCTTATATTTATAGTGAGTGAGACAATTTTGGCACCTGCTGCAGGAGCCTTCACTAGAGGGTCCAATGCACATTGGGACCTCTTTATGATAGACAAGCCTTAAGTGTTTAAGTCTATATGAACAGTTAGTCCAGGGGCACTTGCCAGCTGCGTATTAACTGTCCATGTGGACCTTGCGTCTGTGCACTAAAAGTTCACTAAGACACGCTTAGACCTAACAATAATCCTGGGGTTTGCGGGACTGTCTCACTTTGAACCTCAAAAACCTCTTGTCACGATTGAGCAGAACATTTCCTGCATTCAGGACTGCCCAGGGTTTGGCCTGTCTGCCCTTCTGTCTCCAGCTATGGAGAGGCAGACAGGCCAAACCTGAGTGGCACTGTGTCCTGCTTTAGTCACTTGAAATGTTGGGAAGTATGTGCTTTGATCTACTCCCGTTTCAAAGTGGGGTAGATCGAAGTGCACTACGGAGCTTTTAGCGTGTGGAAGCAGGGTCTGGACGGACAGTTAGTGCCTGGCTGGCTAATGTGAGGTAGATTTAGACCCTATCTTGCCGCACACTAACTGTTCATATAGAGAAATGCTTAGTGAGGGACAGTCTCTGCTCTGTGTAGATTACAATTAGTGCAAAGCAAGGTAGTGAGTTTGTGATGTGGGAACTGGAACTGGGAATCATACTCATCTCATACAGGGGCCATCAAACTTCCATGAGATGGGAACAAATCTTAATCCCTGTTGAGCTGGGCAAGATTCATACTGCTGCCAAACAGGGGAGAGGCTCTGTAGCTCCTTTGCAAGTCTCTGAGACAGCTAATCCTGCACAGGTGCTGATGTTACATTTTTGGAAATGAGACTGCTTTCTGGGAAAGATAATTTTATTAAATCAGGTCTGACCTTTTGGAGCTTGCACAGGCATGCTCTCCCACCCTCTGGAACACAGGCAACCTCTCCCACATTGCTCAGGCTCAAAACTACTCAGTCTGCTACACCTATTCTTACAAATACAAATAATAAAAATGCAATGGTAAAACAAATATTAGCACAACAGCTGAATTCACTTCTAAATACAATGTTTTGCAATTTCAGATCATTCCAACTATTGCATCAAGATCTGTACATCAACTTTTATAATTTGTAAATTTTCCCACTCCCACATGGGTCATCAACCCTCAATCTTCAGCTCCACAACACAGACAGCTCTAGGAGCAACTGATAGATGAAAAGCATGCTTTTGTCCTCTAAGTCAGTGGCTCTCAACCTTTCCAGACTACTGTACCCCTTTCATTTTTACCATATAATTATAAAATACATCAATTGGGGTACAAATATTGTGCTTACATTTCAGTGTATAGGCTATACAGCAATATAAACAAGTAATTGTCTGTATGAAATTTTAGTTTGTACTGACTTCGCTAGTGTTTTTTATGGGTTTCAGAGTAGCAGCCGTGTTAGTCTGTATCCGCAAAAAGAACAGGAGTACTTGTGGCATCTTAGAGACTAACAAATTTATTAGAGCATAAGCTTTCGTGGGCTACAGCCCACTTCTTCCGATTGGGAACCCACGCAAAATTACACTCTCAAAAATTTGCT